CTCCCTTCTTTCCTTCCCCCATCTCTCTTTCTCCCTTCTTTTCTCCCTCCCTCCTTCCTGTATGTAACACTATTCAAGTCAAAATGGTAACTGCAAGATTATTCAAAAACAAGAAATACTAAATGTTGTTTGTATGGCTGACAACCTATATCTGTCTGGGGTTATGTACATTCCTCAGACATGTACAGGTGAAAGCTGTGTGCTAAGCTCAAGGGACACAGCGTACATGAGGCAGTCCCTGCTCTCAGGGTGCTGACATTCTGACAGGGAAGACAATCATGAAAACAACTTCTCACAACAAATTTAGAATTAAGTAAGCGCTGACAAAGGGTAGAAGCAAAGGAATGTGGAGATGTACACAGAGGAAGATTCCACAGAGCAGGGCAGCTAAGAAGACAGCCAAGCTGAGCCTTGAAGTGTACATAGAATCCAACAAGCAGAGCTAACTGCAAAAGCAAGGACAGAGGTCTGGAGAGGCAGGCCTTGCTCAGGGAATTGCTGCTATGAGATGTAGCTGGGATGTGGGGTAGGCAGTGGGAAGGTATCTCAAAAGAGCTAGGGGTTAGCAGCCGGGTTTAGCCATTCTAGATTCTAGGAGTTCTTGCTGGTGCCTAACAAAGAGAAGCACAGCACTCTGCCCACCCAAAGAGAAGGTGAAGGGCACAGCAGCTGCATGAGGAAACAGTCAATTGCAAACCCTCTGTGCACTCCTTTTAGAGGAAGGCCCATCCTATGATCCTACAGGTTCTGCTTTCCCTAGTCCCATGGCTCATGGTTATGCTGTTGGATTAGCAAGGGTTTGGAATTAGCAGCTGACTGGTTACCAGAATCTTGGGCTTGTTTTTAGAGTGAGAAGATAATTATCCGGCTGCTGCAGTCTCTATGTTTGTGTCATCCCAAAATTTGTATGTTGAAATTTAATTCTCAATGTGATAGAACTAAGAGGTGGGGCTTTTGGGGAGGTGATTACATCAGGAGGGCAGAACCCTTATGCATGGGATTAGTGCCCTCATAAAAGAGGCCCAAGGGAGCTTGTTTGCCCTTCTACTATGTGAGGTAGCAAAAAGGCCATCTTTGAGAGCAAACCCTCACCAGATACCCAGTCTGAGGGCACCCTGATCTTGGACTTTGCAAACTCCAGAGCCACAAGCAATAAATTTCTGTTGTTTATAAGTTACCCAGTCTAAGGCACTTGTTGCCACCCCAGGAGTGATAGCTCCAGGCCAGTCCCTGCCTTACCGTACAGTCCCTCCAAGCTTGGAGACATCTCCTCTCCACCCCATACCTTTGAGGCTGTAAGATCAGACTGGGAGTAAACAGTTTTCCTAAGGTTACTGAAGAGCTCCGCCAGGGTGGCTCGGTGGCGAGCCTGAGACAGGCGTCTTCGGGCCACCCGCGGCTCAAGCTTCTGCAGAGGTGATGGTAGCTGGGGCATCACTCTGCCACTGGGGTTGCTGCCTTCTTCAGGGGTCGTCATAATAAGCTGTAAAGTAATAGTATGCTTTTCCCCCCAAATAATAAAAATACAATATTAAAGGAAAAGGACAGCAGATTGAAGCAGACAGAAAGATACCCCTCCCAAGGAAAAGTTCCAAATCAATGAATATCATCAATAAAAGACACAAAAAAATCACAGATGACAGAAAATCTGTTATTAAAGCTCGATCTCTGAAAGCACAAACCACCCATATTGGACTTACAGTTGAGAGGTCCTAGGACTTAACTCAGGAAGGTTCCTGCACATTGCAGGTGCTCACCAGACATTTGTAAATTTCAAGTGTTAATTTCAAGTGGGGCGACGGGAGCAGTCATATCCTGAAATTTCAGGCTTCACGGTCTGTTAAAATCTGAACAGATACTTGTCCCACTCTGAATTCTTTTCTACCTTAAGAATGCCCTCTCTCTATGATCTGGGTAGTGATTACACAGGTATATACATATGAAAAAAAATCCTCAAGGTGTATACTTTAGACTTGTAAACATTTAATTTCTTTCTTTCTTTTTTTTTGAGACAGAGCCTCACTCTGTCACCTAGGCTGGAGTGCAGTGATGTAATCACAGCTCTCTGTAGGCTTGAACTCTAGAGCTCAAGCAATTCTCCTGCCTCAGTGTCCCAAGTTACTGGGGCTACAGGCATGTGCCATCACAGCTGGCTACTTTTTTTAAAAATTATTTTTTATTTTTTGTAATCTTTAAAATTAAAAAAAAAAATTTTTGTCTCACTGTGTTGCCCAGGCTGGTCTCAAACTTCTGACCTCAAGTGATCCTCCTACCTTGACCTCCCAAAGCACTGAGATTGTGCCCAGCCAGGACTTGTATACTTTTCTGTGAATATATATACCTCAAAAAGAAAGGAGATTATAACATATATACCTCAAGAAGAAAGAAAAGAAGACAATGCATTCTACCACCTGTAAAAGCAAGAAGTCATCTGATAACAGAGAAGCAGAATGTGGTTTGCTTTGTCTTGCTTCTAGTGGGTTCTGGAGATGATCATTATGTCATGTTTTATCACATCTGAACTTACAGACCAGGAGCCTTTCCCTAGGGTAGGGCGACTCTGGTACTGGTATGTAATAGCATAATAAGAGACAGAGGCCAGGGCTTCTTACTTAAGCCATAGACCCCTCTATCACATGCTTACTTCACCACTCTGAGGAGAGTTGCTCCCCACTACTCTGCTAGCTCTTTGAACAGAGGAGCTGCCTCGTCATAATCTTTTTTACCCCTAGTGCCAAGCACAGAGTCTGGCCCTCAATAAGTGCTCAGTGCTTGGGTTTCAGATAAATTGGAATGAAAGATCTCCACTGGGCCTACTCTCTCCTGAGCTCAGTCCTACTGTACAGGGACAATGCATGAACCTCGACCAGGAGTTTGTCAATTCTGATGTATGTCAGAGTTACCTGGGGAGACTGTTGAAAATATATATGTCTAGTCCCTGCCTTGGAAACATCAGAACTGAGTTCAGAACTGGATGCCCGGCATCTAGCTCCCCTGGGTAAAACTTTCATGGTTTGAGAGTCACCACTAGGGAGCTGACAGCAGCTGAAAACAATTTCCTCCATAAAGGAAATACTGGGGAAGGGAAATGGAAGAAGCCCTTCTTTCTACATTTTAGCAGGGAGAATCAGCCAATAAGACGGTGAACCCAATCAGTCAGTGTGGGATTTTGAAACACTTTTTAGGTCAGAAAGCAACAACCTCATCAACAATGTGGTCTTCGTCAGCATATTGATTTTTCCTTGCTTTGCTTCTCAGAATAGCAGCAGGAGGGTGGTAACTGGGTGATGCTGTAGCTACCCGTGCTGGTCCCTGTGAGTCTCTGTAATGTCTATCACCAGGAGCTACATCAAGGTGCCTCCTGAGGGGGAAAGAGTGGAATCCACAGAGGCCCCTCACACTCAGCTCCAGGGCTATGTTAAACTAGAAGCCACACCCTAATGGTCTCTAATTTCCAGACACCAACTAAACTTTACTAGGAAGCAAAATGAAACCAAGGTTTTGAGCTGCCCAGGGGAAAATGAGAATCTTTTAAAATATAAGAGCACAGGCATTCTTTGCTTCTTTAAATTAAAAAGCAACAGATGTGCCTGGACACCAGGGGATTTAGGTTAACACACACAAAACAGGAAGCTAATAGGAAACACTGTTCTAAATGAACAGAGGTATAAAAATACCAGCATCCTTCCAGGATCTTGAATGCTCTACTAGTCCCAGAACACTAACACCAAAGGACTCTGGGCTTGTAGGGAATCTGGAACTTTCCCAATGCCAATGCCAATTGTGTGGGTTTCCTCCCAGGCATCTGCCCAAACACACTGCTTGAAATACCTGGACGGCTGTGTGGGCAGTTTCAGTCCTGGAGAAGGGCAGACTTTCCCATTACTTGCTTCTGCGGGTAGTGACAGTGCCAGAGCATCCTGGCCAGCTGTCTGGAGTTGTGGCCTCCACTTTGCCCAGCCTCCCGCAGGTGCCCTCTAGCTAGGGAGGGAGAAATTTATCCGCCTGGCTCAGGGACAGGAACACTGTAGGAAAGATGGGAGAAGATCCTCCCACTATGCCTTGAGGGGAGAATTAAGACTAGTAGTAGTAGGCTGTGTGTGGTTTTATACGCCCCCCCCCATGCTGCCTCCTGCTGGCCACTTGGAATGATTTTGCTATGAGCCCCACAAAGCATTTTTTCCACATTATCTTAATTGACTTGAAATTTTGTTTTCTTTTCAGAGGCCCTGACAGGGGCTTAGGTTGTTACTTTCCAGACAGAGCTTTTTGCTGCAAAAATGCAGTTGGGTCTGTCCCATCAGCACATGCAATTTGTGTAAAGGGCTGACTCCCCAGGACACATGGCTCAGAAGGGGCTGCCTGAGATGGGGGAGGGAAGAGCAGGAGCCTCCTCCACCTTATTCCAAACTCTGCCAGGAAATGGGGGAACTGAACATATTGTAAAAGGGGAACTAACCGTATTGTAAAAATGAGATCAGTAAATGATCTTCCATTTAAAAATAAAAACCTTTTCTCCTAAAAGCCCTCTGCAAACGAAAAGTATATTAAGGAAACTGCTGCCGACAGTGTAAGGAATTATAGCAGTGTAGAGAGTATAGTCTGGAACTCCATCCCTAGAACCTGAAAGTCTGTATTTTAATAGCTTTGAAAACTCAATCTCCCATTTGCCTCCTTCTCTCACTTGTGTTCTTTAACAAAAGAAACTTGTTCTCCACCCCATCAAACTCTATTCCATGGCCCATTGCTTTTCCTCCCGCCTATAATACCACTCTTTTCTGCCGCCTTCCCCCAGCCCCCAGTTTCTACTGATCTAGAGCCAATTTCCAGTTTAAGTCCCAATTCCTTTAAAGAGCTTCCCAGGCCCAGGCCACACTGGTTTTTAATTTAACTATGTTTTGGCAGTAGTTCAGTAAGATCTTTGGTCGGGATCTGTGTATCAAGCATCAGTGGTGTCCCTCCCAGAATGGGATACCATGTGCAGGCATAAATGATTACCTCCAACACTCTTTTCTTGGCTGCTTCTCCCAAACTAAAACCAAGGAGTCTATTTCCTGGACAACATTTCCCAGGCATGAGGACAGGCAGAGGTGCTGGGGTGCTAGGTTGAAGAAGCTAAAGGAAAATAGAGATTAAGAGGAAAACTTGAAAAGGAAGAGGAATACCATTTTAACCCAGAAGACCACTCCACACCCCAAGCACTCACTCTCCTATGAATTCAGCTTTTGGCAACATTCACAGTAAGAGGCGATGCATCTGAGAATCTTTTTTTTTTTTTTTGAGTTGGCATCTCACTCTGTCACCCAGACTGGAGTGCAGTGGCCGCTCCTGGCCACTGCAGTCTCGACCTGCTGGGCTCCAGCGATCCTTCTGCCTCAGCCTTCCAAGTAGCCAGAATTACAGGCATGCGCTACCACGCCCAGCTGATTTTTTGATTTATTGTAGAGATGAGGTCTCACTGCCCAGGCGGGTCTTGAACCTGCGGGCTCAGGCAATCCACTCACCTCAGCCTCCCAAAGGCACGGGATTACAGGCTGAGAATCTTAAAAAAGCCCTTTTGAAGGTGAGGCCAGCCAACTGCGAATTAAGAAAGTCAGGGAGAGATTTTACAGAGTCAAAAATCTCAAAATGCTATTCTGACTTGGGAAACTGGGCGTGCCTGGAGAGGTGAATATGAATGGGCATCTAAAATGTGTGAGAATTGAGGGAACTCGGTACAGAGACAGCAGTTTGAAGGAAGCTAGTCTTAAGAATTCGGGGCAGGGTAAGGATGCAGGGTTGCACTCAGAGATTGTATACAGCCAGCAGATGAACGGGTGTCGGCAAAAGCAGGCTGGATTATGGATTACTCAAGAGGAGTCATAACCCTAGCTTCAAGTTAACCAGCCATGTGATTTTGGACAAGTCAAGAAACCTCTCCTGTCTTAATTTCTCTCTACATATAAATGAGGTGAAAATTATTTAACTAGATTACAGTCTAAACTTTTTCATGTTTAAAAAGTCACAGTCATTATTCTGTAACTATCTAGAGGGAGAGAAAACAACACAAGCAGCTCATATCCAACAGAAGTGGGATATGGTGCACACAGCAGGGTGAGAGGCTACATTTTAAGGATTTCTGGAGACTTCCTTATGTTTATGAACAAATGTTTACTGAGCACATTCTCTATGCAAAATCCATTTATTTTGCAAGAAATTGGGGCCAAAAATAATATTAGGCATTTCAAAAGGGCCATAGCTCTAACATATTTTCCCCTCTTAAAAACATACTGCTGGCCAGGCGCAGTGGCTCAAGCCTGTAATCCCTGCACTTTGGGAGACCAAGATGAGAGGATTGCCTGAGCCCATGGGTTCGAGATCAGCCTGGGCACGTCACGAGACCTCATCTCTACAATAAATCAAAAAATTAACTGGGTGTGGTAGCACATGCCTATAGTTCTGGCTACTTGGAAGGCTGAGGTGGAAGGATCGCCTGAGCCCAGCAGGTCGACCCTGGGGTGGCCGTGAGTGTGATGGAATGAGACTCTAACTCAAAAAATAAAAAATGTGCTGCTGTGTTTAACCTCATTCTGGAGATCAGCTTGCCAAGTATAAACTTTCAATCTAACAAAGTTAGAAAACAGCTTAATTGACACGTTCTTCTAAAAGGGCATTTTGTGAAGATTCGCACTGTCACACACCATATTTTTTATTACTCCTCATTTATAAAGTAAAACACACTTTGATTACCAAATATTTTCCTATTAAAACACCCCTTAGCTGGGTGTGGTGGCTCATGTTTGCAATTACAGCACTTTTGGAGGGCGAGGCAGGATGATTTATTGAGCCCAGGAGGAGATCAGCTTGGGCAATATAGTGAGACTTCGCCTCTAAAAAAATTCGAACAAAATAAGGCAGGCATGGTGGATGAACCTCTACTCCCCTTTTCTCCTGAAAGTCCTCTGCAGATGAAAAGTATATTGAGGCTGGGCTCGGTGGCTCAGCTGTAATCCCAGCACTTTGGGAGGCCGAAGTGAGTGGATTGCCTGAGTCCGCAGGTTCAAGACCCACCTGGGCAACCTGGCGAGACCTTGTCTCTACAATAAATAAAAAATTAGCCGGGCGTGGTAGTGCCACGCCTGTAGTTCCAGCTACTTGAAAGGCTGAGGCAGAAGGATCACCTGAGCCCAGCAGGTCAAGGCTGCAATGGCTGTGAGCATGCCACTGCACTCCAGTCTGGGCAACAAAGTGAGACTCCAACTCAAAAAAAAAAAAAAGAAATGTATATTGAGGAAACTGCTCCCATCTACTTGGGAGGCTAAGGTGGAAGGATCGTGTAAGTCCAGAGGTGGAGCCTGCGGTGAGCTGTGATCATACCCCTTCACTCCAGCCTGGACAAAAGGGTGAGACCATGACTCAAAAAACAAAGAACCAACACTTAGAGCTAATATTTTTAAGCTCCCTAAATTTTGTTTGAAATGCCCCATTTTCTCCAAGTTTCAGTGAAACGTTAAATGATTTTTAAGCATCACTCCAAGAAATATTTGAGTGTAATCTGTTCTCATTAGCCAACTGGGAGCGAAGACACACAATTGCAACCCACCGGCACCTGCCTTTGACTCCTGATGAATATCAGATTATGAAAAAAAAAGTGACTCCTGATGAATATCAGATTATGGAAAAAAAAAAGAAAAAAAATCCAAAATCATTCTCAAAAATGTACGTAGCCACCATGACTTTTACAAAAGCTCGCGTGAACCCAAACCTAAACGTTTACCCTTTTGGTTCTATTTGCATTGAAATCATTCACATACAGATGAACACTCACATGCCTAAGGGCACCTTTCTGGAGAGGAGCGTTTAGAAGGAAGGAAGACAGGCACCTGTGGGCCCCCGGTGCACAGGACCTCCTCACTCCTGGGACAGCGGTGACTCGGCACCGCACGCCTGCCCACTACAGAAAACAGAGCTGGCACTTCAGCACAGGGAGGAGGACCAATCCCAGCCCTGTCTCCGTCCCCCACAGCCAATGGTGATTCGCAGTGACTGACCAATCAGAGAGTGGTCGTGGAAGAAACAGTGTTACAAGTAGTCTGAAGGTGACACAAAAGGGCGGGGAGAGAGGAGGTGGGTAGGACTGACCTTCTCACCTTGCTAGGTCATGAGTGGGACAGGGAGGGAATCAGGGGCTCCACACAGCCTGCATGTGCCCACAGAAGTCTAAATGAATGTCTCACCTGACACTGAGCCCCAGTTTTCTCATCCCTCAAATGGGGCGAAGCCACTACCTTAAAGGATTGTCCTGAGGGCTAGAGAAGACACCTTAAAGGGGGCAGAGTACCGGGTTCCCTGTCTCAAGGGGAAAGGTGAGAAAAATGTAGGCATAAAGGAAACAGATCCATAAAAGGGAAAGGGGAATGGCATTTTAAATAAGGCAAAAAGAAATCCCATCTTTCGATGGGAGGAATAGGAGTTGCAGAGAAGTGATTTTTAAAACCTCAGATTAAAATATCAAGAAGAAAAGAGAAAAAGCGTTTACTTTTTGGGAAAGTAGAAAGCAGATATTCCAACCTGGAAAAAAGATTTTTCCTCCTCAAATGCAGATATACTCTTGTCTTTAGGCCTCTTTTTTCTTGTATGTCTGTATCCTGAAATATTTCGGGATGGTCATGATCTCACAACATCACTTTGGCCCAAGGAGTACCAGCCTTGCTCACTTGGTGAGAAGATGTGGGAATAAGCCCCTAGGAAGTGCCCAGCTCAGAGCTTGTTGTGCATGGAGGAAGAAACATTGCAAGTCCCTGGTTCTTCCTTGCCACTATCTGACCTGAAGTGCGCTACTTCACCCCTGGGGCAGGGGTGAAACAGAGGACACACGGCTGAGTAGAAGCAACAGGGGCTTTGGTGGCACTTGGAATTGGATTCCAGGGCTACAAAGCCCCTACAGAATTATGAAATAGGGTACCTGGCATGCGGTAAACACTCCTTAAATTTTACCTTAGTGAGACACAGACTCATCTTTAAAGGATATTGGTGGAACATTAAACAATGCTCTCTATATGAGGAAACTGTCACATAAAAAGCGCCCATTAAGAGTAAAATCCTTAGCCGGGCGTGTTAGCTGCACCTGTAGTTCCAGCTACTTGGAAGGCTGAGGCAGAAGGATGGTCGGAGCCCAGTAGGTCGAGGCTGCGGTGGCTGAGAGCGTGCCACTGCACTCCAGTCTGGGTGACAGAGTGAAACTCCAACTCAAAAAAAAAAAAAAGAGTAAAATCTTATTCTTCCTTTCATGGTACATTTAAAATGATCACTTTTCTACAAAATTCTGCCTAGGTTTTTTTTTTTTTTTTTTTGAGTTGGAGTGTCACTCTG